TCAAACAATACATACTCATAGAACCACAAATTGTATAAATGCCCGCCAACAGTGACTATAATGAAAAATGTCCTACATTTTTTTTTTGTCTTTTTGAGACAGGGTCTCACTGTAGTCCCAGCTAACCTGAACTCACTATGTAGACCAGGCTGGCCTTGAACTCACACGATCCACCTGCCTCTGCCTCTCAAGTGCTGGAATTAAAGGCTGCTCTACCACGCCCGGCTAAAGTCCTAGATTTTTACAATGTCACCACAGCACATCTCCTGCTTGTCCCCTGAGTGTGCTGTGCCCAGTGAACGGATCCCCAAGAATTACCACAGAGTCCAGAGAGCATGCAAGAACAAAGAGTTTTTACTCGGGCTTAAACTCAGGCTCCCAGACCAAACTAACATGGCAAGTCTGTCTGAGAGCCCCTATCGCAGGAGGTGGAAGCACTTTATAGGTTTTAGACAAAGGGAGGAGGGGAATAACAGAGTCACACTTTGATTGGCCCAAGGAGCCTGCACGTGCCAACACATTTTTTAATTGATTGGTTATAAGGGATGCAGTCCTGGGGTCTTCTCATTGGTGGGTGCTACTCTCAGAGCTGTGGAATGTACTGACTGTTATCTGTGGGGCCAGAAGTCTCTGTTTCTACCTTATAAGGCTGTGATATGTCTGGGCTTGCTTGATCTATGGCCTTCTGGGGTGGGGGTAGTAGGTGGAGATTATGACATGCCTGGACAGGTCCAGGCTTGCGTGAAACAACTAGTCAAAATGGGGTCAGTGCAGTTAGTCCTTTCAGCCTAGCAATCAAGTGGTTTACAGAAGTGAGAAAGAGACACTATTCCTAAAGAGGGGCAGGGGTCTCGGGAGTCCAGGGCAGAGGGCCAAGGAGGAGGGCTTCACATTCCCCCCTTTTCTTTGTAGCTTAGAGAGGACCCAATCTTGGGTCCAGGTTAGGGTCCCTGATGAGGGGTTCTAGGGCCTGATACTGGGACCTCAGAACCATGAGTTGTACTGTGTTCACCCGTTCTTTGACAAAGGCAACCAACCGATTGATGATGCATGGTCCAACAGTTAACAGTAATAAGAGGAGGATTATAGGTCCAGCTAAGGCTGAGAGCAAAGTGGTAAGCCAGGGAGATGAATTAAACCAAGACTCAAACCATCCTTCCTGGGCCTCTTGCTCTCGCTTCCTCTTTGCTAATCCTTCCCTTACTTTAGCCATAGATTCCTTGACTATCCCTGAATAAATGGTCAACATAAAAACAGCATTCCTCCCCCAAGGCCGCACAAAGCCCTCCTGGCTGCAGGAAAATCAAGTCCAGCCCTCACCAGTTTTGTAATACAACCTCAGTGAGAGATGAGAGAGACTCCTGTAGATGAGAGATTGAGTTCTCAAGTTGCTCAATGTCCAGGTCAATGGCAGCCCTTAGATCTGAATAGTATTTGCCTTGAGTGATTAATGAAGCCATCCCTGTCCCTATCCCTGCCAAGCTAGTACCCAGAAGTAAGCTAAGAGTGAGGCCTGTGGCAGTGACCAACCCTCCCCTCGAGGTGACTGAGGAATGCGTCCCCATCGTGATATAGGAGCCAGGGCACCAGGCAGACAAGGACACAAAACCCTCCAGTTTGAGGACAGCTGTAGATGCTCAAGGAGTTAGGCTGGTGGAACACGCCCACCAAGGGTCCCATTGCAAAGGGTCGCTTTATCCTCACTTACATTTCCATGCATAGTCCTCACCCGATCACCTGTTGTAGTGTTATAGGATGACAGGGGGACTGCCAGTGGCACTGATTTGGCTCTTTTGTCTGAGCCACATTGGCCTTCACAGCTATCCCCTCGTAGTAGGAGGGTGTTATGTCATAACAATAACATAACCAGCACAAGCTAGTGAGATCAGGCCTCGTGGCATTCAGGACCAAGTACGTTTGTTGTAGTAGATCCATCATGGGATGCAGTCCCTCACCTGAGTCAGGCTTGGGGTGGCGTCTCCCTGTCCCTGGTTTAAGTTTAGGTGCTGAGGTCAGGGTTTGCGTGGGTTCGGAGTCCTGGGAGACTTTGTGGCCTGGGGTTCCTAGGGGTAGGGTTGCAGTGGAGTGAAGTTTTGAGATGGTCGCCTGTGTGGGGTGCATAGGGAGGTTAAGTATTTTGTTAGGGCCTACCATCAATGGTTGCTCTATCGGTTCCACCTTTAGCTTAATTACGATGGTGGAACCAGCATGTCCTCCATATTTATAATATACCTTACTCCATCTTAGGCCATTTTGCCAGCATCCATCTCGTTTTCCTTTGGCGGAGAATGTGACTTTTATTTGGTCTAGACTGCGCAGCCCACAGGGCTGTTTCCCTTGAGGGACGGGCCTATAGTGGATGGGGTTAGTATAGGCAAAAGAAACTAAATCTGTCTTTTTCACTGGCCATTTCCATTCCCCATCATTGGAGGTGATGCAGTCCCAACTTTTGCAGAAAAAGGACTTCCAGCCTCCACATGCCCTCTTGTTCTTACGGTGGCCTGGACATGCGTAAAACCCATGTCTCCTAGCCAGGTCCTGTTGTGCTGAATTATAAACCTGATTTAAATCACACAGACAGAAGTATAAGTCAGGCCACCAGGTGCCCTCGGGGGTCACGTGTGTGATCTGGCTTAGAGTATAATGTGTCTCCCTGTCCAAGAGAAACCAGGTTAACTTGCACGGTACATGGGGGTTGCCCTCTGCTCTCTCAGGGCAGTAGGTCAAGATATCAATAGGATTGGCCATTACATTTTTAGGGGCCCATTCAGAATCTTAGCTTAAGGGGATTATGCGGGCCAGGTGAGGTAGTCCACTTATCCTCTCCTGGAGTCTCAGTCAACTCAGGGTCTGCTGTCTTGGCATGAGAGTAGTGGATCCAGGAGGTGATTCCGTCGACCTTGAGAGCTGTCGGAGTCATCAGGATCACAGTATAGGGTCCCTTCCAATGGCGTTCCGGGGTCTCTCAGCAATGGGGTTCTGGGGTCTCTCAGCAATGTCTGTGGACATAGACCTGATTGCCAGGCTGGTAGTTGTGGGGGATAGGTGGGGGAGTGGTCTCATAGATGGCTTTCAGCCAGGGCCATATGTCCCCATGCACCTGGGCCACTGCCCCTGGGTAAGATGTCCTCTAGTAATTTCTTGGCCACCATCTGAGTGGTTTTATGCCTGGTAGGGAAGGCTTCAGTCTATCCTGAAAAAGTATCTACCAGAATTAGTAGGTATTTGTAACTATACTTGCCTGGTTTAATCTCAGTGAAGTCCATTTCCCAATGGGCCCCAGGTTTGGAGCCCCTTGTTTGAGCCCCTGGTTCCTTAGGGTAAGTTTCAGCATTGGTTAGCTTGCAACTAAGACATGCAGAGGCGGCCATATCAACAAGGGGGTGGAGATTCAGAACTCTTAAATGAGCATTCCTTAGAAGATTGGCTGTTTTTCTGATGCCCAGGTGAGTAGTTCGGTGGATATGTGTGAGGAGGTCCCTGGCCAAGTCACTTGGCAGAATAATTTTGCAGTCTCCTGTATACCACCAAACACCGACCTTTTGAGCCTTTGGAAGTCTGTGTATCAACTTTATATCCACTGGGGAGTAATGAGACTGATCAGGTAGGATGGGGGGGCAGGATCTGGCAGTTGGATTGGCAAAATCTGGAAGGTCTCCAAAGCTACTTCTTTGGCAACCCAGTCTGCTCTCTGATTTCCTTGAGCTATGGTTGTGTTAGCTTTCTGGTGCCCGGGGCAGTGGATAATAGCCAACTTCTTGGGCAGCCATAGAGCTGCCAACAAGTCAAGAATTTCTTGTTATTTTTAATAGCTCCACTGTGAACAGCCCCCTTTCCTGGTAGATGGCTCCATGCACATGTGCCATAGCAAAGGCATATCAGCTGTCTGTGTACACATTCAATCATCTGTTCTTTCCAAGCCTAAGGGCCTCAGTCAGAGCTATCATTTCAGCCCTCTGAGCTGAGGTTCCCACAGGCAAAGCCGCCACCCAAACAGTCTCAGTTTCAGTTACCACCGCTGCCCCTGCATACCTCTGCCCATCCTTCATGAAACTGCTACTGTCGGTGAACCAAGTAGCTTCTGCATCGGAGAGTGGCCGATAGGTCAGGTCGTTTCTGAGTCCATGTACCTGGCTCAGGATCCTATGTACCTGGCTCAGGATCCCCATGCAATCGTGCAGGGGTGCGTCCAAGTCAGGGTCGGGCATCAGAGTGGCTGGGTTAAGGGCGGTGCTTGGGAGGAACTGAATTCTTGGAGGGTTAAGGAGTAGGCTCTGATAATGAGTTATTCGGGCGTTGCTCAACCAGCAGTCCAGTGGCTGCTTAAGAACTCCTTCGATAGCATGAGGAGTGGTGATGTGTAGTTCTTGCCCTAATGTCAATTTAGCTGCATCCCTGACTAGAAGGGTAGTAGCAGCTATAATCCGCAGACACAGCGGCCATCCTGCAGCTACCGGATCAAGTTTCTTAGACAAGCATGCCACTGGTCTATTCCAGGGTCCTAACGTTTGAGTCAGGACTCCTTTGGCTATTACTTTCTTTTCATCTATGTAGAGGTGGAAAGGCTTGGTGACATCGGGAAGCCCCAAAGCTGGGGCCATCAGGAGGGCTTGCTTAATTTCATTAAAGGCTCTTTCTCTTTCCCCCATCCAAACGAAAGTCTCATTCTCTTTTGTAGCCTCATAGAGAGGCTTAGCCAATTCAGCAAACCCTGGGATCTAGAGGCAGCAAAACCCTGCCAACCCCCAAAACTCTCTCACTGCTCTCCGGGAGTTGGGGACTGGAATCTTTGGCACTGTTTCTTTCCTGGCATCTGTGAGCCATCTTTGTCCTTCTTTTAGAATGTACCCTAGATAAATCACTTCTTGATGACACATTTGTACCTTCTTAGTGGATGCCCGATATCCTAGCCTATCTAGAGTCACCAACAAATCCTTAGTCCCTTGCTGACATAGTAGAGTGTCATCGGCAGCTATCAGGATGTCATCTACATACTGCAATAGGGTGAGTTGGGGGTGTTCCAGCCTGTACTCACCCAGATCTTCATGAAGTGCCTCATCAAAGAGAGTGGGCGAGTTCTTGAATCCCTGAGGCAGGTGAGTCCAGGTCAGTTGTCCATTGAAACTGACCTCTGGATCTTGCCATTCGAAGGTAAAGAATAGCTGACTGTCCTTGACTAAGAGCAGGCTAAAGAAGGTGTCTTTTAAATCTAGTACAGTATACCAGCTCCTGGAGAGCGGCAAGGGTCTCAGGAGGGTATAGGGATTAGGCACCGTGGGATGGATATCCATGACCCGCTTATTTACTTCTCTCAGATCCTATACTGGCCGGTAATTGTTTGAGTTTGGCTTCTTTACCGGGAGGAGAGGTGTATTCCATGTAGACCTGCTTTTGGCTTTTTACTGGGAGGAGAGATGTATTCCATGCAGACCTGCAGGGTACTAGGATGCCCTGGTCTCTTAGCCTCTGGATTTGTGGGGTAATCCCTGATCTGGCTTCATGGGACATGGGATACTGCTTCATCTGAGCCGGAAGGGCTCCTGATTTCAGCTCCATCCAGATGGGTGGCCGGTGGGCTGCAAGCCCCATCCCTCCAGTCTCAGCCCAGGCCAGGGGAAATTCCTGCAGCAAAACAGAAATCTCCTCCATTGGCTGTGGATCCAGTTTTTGGTGCAGTCGATACTCGTCTTCCAGTTGCAAGGTCAGTACCTGAATGGGGTGGCCTCCTTTATCTATTAAATGAACACCATTAGGTGAAAAATGGATGTGGGCTCCAATTTTGGTAAGTAAGTCTCTACCTAAGAGTGGGTAGGGGCAATCTGGCATGACTAGGAAGGAGTGGGACACCCGGCCCGTGCCTAAGTCCACTTTCCTTTGGGTGGTCCATGAATATTGGTTCATGCCAGTCGCTCCCTGTACTCAAGACCTTTTGTTTGACAATTTCCCTAGGGTCTCTGTTAACACTGAATGTTGAGCACCTGTGTCTACATGGAAACTCACAGGTATCCCCTCCACTCTGAGAGTTACCCTGGGCTCGGGGAGGGGTCCTCCCTATTCGCTCCATTCCCCAATTTCCAGGACTTATATTCCTTCACAGACCTTCTCCTGCCCGGCCGGTCTTTCTGGACATTCCTTCTTCTGATGGCCCATTTTCTTACAATAGGCACATTGGTTTTTTAACAACTTTGTTCGCCCTTCCGGGCATCTCCTACCTTGTTCAGCAGATAGGCATCGCAGCTGGTATTCTCTTTCACCTGGGGACCTGGTCGATGTAGCCAGGAGGATCTTGGCAAAGTCGCGGGTCTGCTTGGCGCTGGTAGCAGTGGCGACCCGGGCCTGCTTGTCCTCGGGACTCTCTCGATGATTGTAGACTTTCTCAGCCACTGCCAGAAGCTCTGGCAGGATTTTATCTTCCAGACTGTCCAATTTCTGCAATTCGTGCCTAATGTTGGGTGCTGACTGTTAACAAATGCCAGGATCACTACATTTTTGTTCTTGGAGGCTTCCGGGTCCATTGGAGTATAGGTACAGAACGTCTCAAGGATCCTTTGTGAGTGATTCTGTTCTCCCTTGCTGCACCTCACTAATCTTGGCCAAATTGGTGGGATGCCTTGTGGCTGCCCGGAGACCCCCCATTAGAGTCTGGCGGTAGACCCAGAGCCTCTCCTCACCTTCAGCCATATTGAAGTCCCAATTCAGTCTAATCACAGGGAAAGCTTCATCAATCAGTGCCTGGTTGGTGGTAGGATTCCCGTCCACCCTAGGGACCAATTTGCAGGCTTCAACTAGGATCTAGTCTCTTTCTTCAGTGGTGAACAGGACCTGCAAAAGCTGCTGAATATCATCCCAAGTGGGCTGATGGGTAAACAGAACAGATTCTAGCAAATCAATTAGACCTTGGGGTTTTTCAGAAAATGTAGCTGTCTGCAGCTTCCATTTGTAGAGGTTACTAGTTGCAAATGGCCAATACTGCATCTGTTGGTCCCCTGCTTCAGTGAGTGGCCCCACAGCCTGAAGGGGGAGGACAGTAGAGTCTGCCACCAGCTGTGACTGCCCCCTCTGGACCCTCCTCCATGTCTGGGGAGGGTGTTCTTCCGCCTCCTGGGGTGGGGCTGCCTCTGTCTCCCCTGGAGTGTCCTGGGGTTCTGCTTGTGGGGCAGGCTGATGGGAGTGGCTCAAGCAGAAGTTCTTCCCCTGTGCCTCCTTGCAAGACAGGGTAGAGAGGGGCAGAGGGTTTAGTTTCATTTTCCTGCCACTCTTCCTCACGCAGGGTGAGGACAGTCGAATTTGGGCTGGGATGGGGGGAGAGGAAGAAGGAATGGCTTTAACCATTTTGGAGGCTCCTCCACCATAACCTGCCAAGTTGTGATGTAAGGGACCTGATCAGGGTAGCCTGGATGACCATAAATTATATCCTTTACTCTGTAGATGGTGGGCAGGTCGAACGTCCCTTCTTCAGGCCAACTGGCCCCAAAGGTTGGCCATTCATTCCTGCAAAACATAAAGAGCTTCCCTTTTTTCACTCACAGCCCCAGGCTTTCAGCCTGGCTTTGAATCCCAAGAAATGATCCTGAAAAAGGCTGAGAGGGGTTACTTGGCTCTGTCCCATTTCTTCTAACACAGTAAGAATCACAAACACAACAGAAAGCACAACCACATAGGAAAATAACACGAGGTTAACTAGCGCCTTAAACTGAAAATAGGACGATGGCCTCTCGCCTCCCAGCAGGCACGACCCGCTTCGTCCTTCCAAGTCTACTAGGGGAATCCAATCCTTATCTGGTGGGTCCGGGATGTCTCCTGAGTCCCACAGCCTGGGGCCTTCCAGTGCATCCGCCTAGACCTCCAACAGGCAACTTGAAAACTGGGCCCCAAAACCAGAAGCGCGCAAAGATGAAAGACACAAAGACGAGACACTCACCGATCGGATAAGGCAGACTCAGTACTCTGGGGTCCAGTGGGGGGGTGGGTCTTGGGGATCCCAGACGAGCCCCCAAATGTTGTGCCCAGTGAACGGATCCCCAAGAATTACCACAGAGTCCAGAGAGCATGCAAGAACAAAGAGTCTTTACTCAGGCTTAAGCTCGGGCTCCCAGACCAAGCTAACATGGCAAGTCTGTCTGAGAGCCCCATCACAGGAAGTGGAAGGACTTTATAGGTTTTAGACAAAGGGAGGAGGGGAATAACAGAGTCACACTTTGATTGGCCCGAGGAGCCCGTGCACGCCAACACATTTTTGATTTGGTTATAAGGGATGCAGTCCTGGGGGCTTCTCATTTGTGGGTGCTACTCTCAGAGCTGTGGAATGTACTGACTGTTATCTGTGGGGCCAGAAGTCTCTATTTCTACCTTATAAGGCTGTGATATGCCTGCGCTTGCCTGATCTATGGCCTCCTTGGGTCCGGGTAGTAGGTGGAGATTATGACATGCCTGGACAGGTCCAGGCTTGCGTGAAACAACTAGTCAAAATGGGGTCAGTGCAGTGAGTCCTTTCAGCCTAGCAATCAAGCTGTTTACAGAAGCGAGAAAGAGCCATTATTCCTAAAGAGGGGCAGGGGTTTCAGGAGTCCAGGGCAGAGGGCCAAGGAGGAGGGCTTCACAAGTGCACTTCCCCTCCCCCATGCTCTGCCTTGGAGGGCTGATAAGAATAGATTATTCTAACAGGGTCCTTTCTACCATAGTCCCCTAGGGGTTGTGGCAGAAGAACAGGGGCAGGGGATGAGCCCCGAGGGTTTCTTACAAGTGGAAGGAGTCTGTACCCTCAACAGAAGGTGATGATTACTCTAGGGTTGCCTGCTCTGCCTCACCCTCTCTTCTTTCTGGTTCCAGGTCTTCTCTTCACTCAGGATTCTCAGACCAGAGTTGCATCATGATTCCCTCCATCCTGCCCACACCTTTATAGCAATGCTTTCATTGAATGAAGTTGGTAGTATCCCTTCCCTTTCTATTTTGTTGCACAGTTTGAGAAGTGTAGCTGTTAGCTCTTTCTTAAAGGTTTGGTAGAACTTGAGAGGGAATCAAATCTTGTCCATTGTTTTTTTCCTGGAAAGACTTTTTATTACAGTACTGCTTCAGTTTCATTACTTGTTATGGATCTATCTAAGTTGTTTACATCTTCTCGATTTCGTTTTGGTACATCATGTGTGTTTAGGAATTTATCCATTTCTACCAGGTTTTCCAGTTTTGAGTAATAATGCTTTCAAAGCCTCTGGATTTCAGTGTAGTCTGTTCTAACAAATTTTCTTCTCTAATTTACTCATTTGAATATTCTTTCTTTTGGTTAGTTTTGCTAGGGGTTTGTCAATCTTATTTTATCTTTTAAAAGAACCAACATGGGGCTGGAAAGATGGCTCAGCGGTTGAGAACACTGGTTGTTCTTGCAGAAGACCCGGGTTCAAATCCCAGCACCCACATGGCAGCTAACAACTGTCCATAACTCCAGTTCCAGGGGATCCGACAGCCTCTTCTGTTCTCTGAGGGCATTGCATGACACGGGTGCAATTACCTATGTGCAGGCAATACATGCATACACATAAAATAAAAATAATAAATAAAAATATTTTAAAAAATAAAAGAACTTTTCATTGATTGATTTTATGCATTGTTCCTTTAGTCTCTATTTCGTGAATTTTTGCCCTGATCTTTACTGTGTCTTTTCAATTTTTTTCATTATTTATCTATCTATTCTGTCTCCCCCCACACCGTGTGTGTGTGTGTGTGTGTGTGTGTGTGTGTGTGTGTGTGTAGAACTCTGGTCATCAGGCTTGGTTCAAGAACCATCTCACTGGCCCTGATTTTCATTATTTCTTGACACCTACTGGTTTGGGATTGACTTTTTTGTTTTTCTAAGACTTTAAGTTGTATAATTAGGTTATTTATTCACGATACCTGACTTGTTTTTAAGACAGGGTCTCACTGTATAGCTCTGGCTATGCAGACAAGGCTGGCCTCAAATTCATAGAGATCCACCTGCCTCTACCTACCGAGTGCTAGGATTAAAGGTGTATGCTACCACTCTGATTTTTTTTTTTTAATGTTAACACATTGCTAAAACTTTCACCTCAGCTGCCTTATCTCAGAGATTCTAGTAAGTTGTGTTAACATTTTTATTTGATTCCAGGAATTTAAGTTTTTCTTTGCTGATCTTTTCCATGACTCCAGTGTTCATTAAAAAGTATTGCTCAGCTGGAGAGTTGGCTTCATGTTTAAGATCACTGGCTGCTCTTACAAAGGATCCAGGTTCAATTTCCAGCACCCACATGGCGGCTACCAACCATCCATAACTCCAGTTCCAGATGATCTGACAGCCTCTTCTGTCCTCCTCAGGCAGTGCACAACATGAGTGCACTTACATACATGCAGGCATAACATACATGTAAAATAAATAAATATATAAAAATATTTTTTAAAGTGTATTTCATCTTCCAGTTATTGTACATTTTCTGTGGTCTCTCTGGCTATTATTGTTCTCTAGTTTTATTTCAGTATGATCTGATAAGATGTAAGAAATTATATTAATTCTTTTTATATTTGTGAAGGCTTCCTTTATGGACAATGATGTGTGTGCTGAGAAAAACGTTCACTTCATCTTGTCGGACAGAAAATTCTGTAGATACCTGTTAAATTCAATTGATCTGTAATGTGGTTTAGCTTTGAAATTTCTTCGTTGGTCTTTAGGTTGAAGGACCTAAGAGAGTGAGTGTTGAATTCATTCTCATTACTACTTCAGGACCCATCTGACCATTCACATTTTATAAAATTAGAAACCCCAACATTTGATGCATGTATACTTAAATTATTATATGTTCTTGACAAAGTCCCTTAACTGATATGTATTAGCCTTCTTTATGTCTTCTGACTAGTCTTGGTTTGAAATCTATTCTGTCAGAATAGTTAAACCAGTTTGTTTTGGGCTTCCCTTGGCATGATAGGTTAATTTCCATTCTTTGACTCTCAGTTTGTGGGAGTCTTTGACAGCAAGGTGTGTTTCCTGTAGAAAACAGAGTTGGATTTTGTTTTGTAATTCAGTCAGCTAGTGTGGCTTTTAAGTGGTGATCTGAGACCATTCAAGAAGGGTTTGGTAATTTCTATAGATTTGCTGGCTGTGTTTCTGGTAGTTGGGTTTCTTTTCTTCCTCCCCTACTACTATTAGGAGTGTACTGGTTTACTGTGCTGGACATGATGGGTTCCTTCTTAGCCCTTCTTAGCCCATCTGTCCCTCTCATGTAATTTGTTATTTCTTATGCTCCTATGAACCAGACTGCCTTTCTTCTTCATCTGTGCATAGCATTCCTTTAAGTATTCTCTACAGTGCTGAATTCATTTTCATGAATTGCCTTGTTTGTGCTTATCTGGAAATGCTCTTATTTCTCCATCAATTTTATTTTATTTACTTATTTTTTCTCCATCAATTTTAAAAGGCAGCCTTATTTATATACCAGTCTTGGTAGCAATTGTTTACTTTCAGGACTTTTAATATATCATTCCATGCTTTCCCCATTTTTAACATTGCTGAAGAGAAATCTGATGTTACATTGATGTGTATGCCTTTGTAGATGAGTTGATGTTTTGCCCTTATGGCTTTTTATATTGTTTCTTTGCATTTTTAATCATTATTAAACTGAGGTTTAAACTGGGTAAAGAATAAATAAAGGCACATCAAAGAAAAGAACATGACCAATTTCCCTGATGAATATAGGCACAAAAATTCTCAATAAAATACTTACAAACAAAATTCCACAACACCTTAAGTTGAGGGGTGGAGACAGGCAGATCTCAAGAGATTCCTGGCCAGCCCATCCCAAATACATATATGTGTGTATAATATATATATCTCATAGGGAAGAATACATTAAGAAGATCATGCATCATGAATAATTTGGTTTCATCCTTTGTTCAGTATACACAAATCAATAAATTTAATATAGCATATAAATAGACATAAGGACAGAAATCACATGGTCACCTCAGCAGACACAGAAAAAGCATTTGATAAATTTCAATGTCTCTTCATAATAAAAGCTCTAAAGAAAATGAATGGGACAAACATATTTCAACATAATAAATCTATATATTTATAGATATAATTGATATACAACATACTAAGTGGGAAATAAACTGAAAGCATTTCCTCTAAAGTTGGAAACTCTTTGTTTTTTATTTAAAATAGCACTCAAAGCCTTAGCTATCATAATACGACAAAGATATATAAAATATATAAAAGATACAAGTATGAAAAAGTAAAATTGTACCTATTTTCACATTACATGATCCTGTACTAAAAAGCTCAAAGACTCCACCAGAAAAATTTTAGAGCGAATAAACACTTTCAACACAGTATCAAGGGATGGAGCTGGAAAGATGTTTCAGTAGTTAAGAGCACTGGCTGCTCTTCCAGGGGACCTGGGTTGAGTTCCCAGCACCCATATGGCAGCTAACAACTGCCCTTAACTCCAAATTCCAGGCTATCTGATGTCCCTTCTGACCTCT